GACACGCTTTTTATTACTTTCATGCGTCGTAATCGCTTCACTGTTGCTTGTTTTAGTTACAACATGACCAAAAAATTAAAGGAGCGCCAGGGCATGGGCGAAAAGAGGAAGCGTAGTAAAGAGAAAGCACAGAGAAGAGCAAGACAACGAGAGTCAAGAAGGTGAAGGTCAAGAAGGAGGCGGCACGAGCTCGGCTCCAGATGGATATATGAAGCCCGAACCTGCACACAGTACTGACCGGTTGCCTCAGTGGAGCCTGAGCCTGAGCCTGAGCCTGAGCCTGAGCCTGAGCCTGATCTTGAGACCGAATCGGAATATGAGGAAGAAGGCACTTCATCCGGATCCGAGTCCGTGCCTGACCCGGAATCTGAGGTTGAGCCGGAGCCCAGATTTGCATCCCAAGAGGAGGACGCTGCACCAGATTCTGAACCCGAGTCGATCACCACCCCATTTGAGTCTCCACTACTGGTACCACGTATAAACAGCGAGCTACCGCAGACGAATTGCTAATCTCTGGCGAGGGTAGATGTAACCGCTCGAAGCGCGCACTCTCCATGCTCGAAGGTGTATCACTGGAGGAGCTTCGGTATATCTGGCAAGAGCTCTGCGATGGAAAGGATCGGATGACAATTAACGAAAAGTACGGGTGCTTTGACGTCAAAGGCGCAGCTATCAAGCCGGGTGGGGTCATGCAGCTAAGAATCAATGGCAAAAGGCTGGTGATGCACATACTCGTATACTTGCTGTGGTACCGCAGGCTCTACGTGGATATGCCGGTTTACCACCTTTGCAACAAGAACTGCTGTGCCAATCCGACGCATTTGATACAAGAACCCGTCGACTACAACAGAACGCGCAAAAAATGCAGGGAATCGTCGTTTACCAAATGCCCCCACTTGCCAAAGTGTCTAATTTTCGCCGAGATATAAAAGATATGTCTGAATCTCCTTGCTTTATATAAAATGCATCGCTATCATCATTAGTTCATCCTAGCTCCACATAATTTTATTGCTGCCCCATAGCTTTACAATCTTTGTGAAGCTCTATGCCCTTGTATCCTTCTTGCCCTGTCAAGCTGCGCAGACTATCAAAGTTTCTCTGGGTGTGCTTGGGTAACGAGTGAATCCTTTGTAATAGAGACTTCAATAAAGTCCTAGTCGTGCAGCATCTGCTTACGAGATATTGGATGCTAGAGTGCTATGACATAGAAGCATGCGACCCATTTGATTCAGGACATGCATCTTCGAATAGCCATATGCATAAAAAGATATTAGCGCATTTGAGTCGAGCCGTATGCTGCTGGAGCCGAATGGCACAAGCAGCAACAGTCTGAGACGCTCACCAAGATGAAGATTCATAGCGATGGCTACTCAGGCCACCTGTTTGTATCAATTGCCAGCCTGTCACATTCCGCAGGCTTCTCTCGCGACACCGGTCTGGCCCGATTTGGCAGCAAGCCGCAGCAGGAGCCTGCCAGAACTCGAGCGAGCTGGGTTTCAAGACTGAAGGGACTGATTTTATTGCCCTCTTTCCAAGGGCGGCTGCGGCTGAAGGCTTGCGCGATCCTGATTGGCGGAGCTCAAGAGGAAATCTTCAGAACAACTGTATAAAAAGGCTGAGATTTATTTGGCCCGCTTTGCTGGCAGGCTGCTGCAAAGACACCTTGCGAGCTGCTTTTCCTCTCTGCACCGTTTTCTTTTTCTCACCTATCATATACTACACTTTTTGAGGTAAATACACATCGCCCGTGCGTGTTGGTGGCCGTGCAGACATTACACCGCCTATTGGCTATACCGTGACTTTTTCTGTGTCTGTAATCGCGCGTCTATTCTGCAATTGCGAGTGTGGCTCCACCAGATTCGACAGCCCTCCTCCTCGCTCTGGCGGGCACTTACGTATGCGCATCCTCTGCATGCATAGTGTCTAGCAGGTTCCAGCGCGCCTTTGTGGGCTCCCTTTGTCCATGGACTATTGCTCCTCTGTGCGGCTCTGCTTTTAGACCACCGGCTTCTGGAGTCTTTTCATTTCTCGGCTCTCCTCTGTTTATCCGCACACTGTACTTATTTACCATCCAGCTGCTTTTGCCATTTCTACGTAGGAACCTCTATTATTTGAAACCATGGTCAAGCTTCAGTCGTCCGATAACGAGGAGTTTGAGGTTGGAAAGAATGTTGCCGTCCAGAGCGTGCTGATTAAGAACCTGCTCGAGGACCTGGGCGAGAGCGAGGAGGCCATCCCGCTGCCCAACGTCACCGGCAAGGTGCTCAAGAAGGTCATCGAGTACTGTGAGCACCACAAGGACGACCCCCCTCCCCTCCGGGACGACTATGACGATGTGCCGAAGCGGTCGGACGACATTGAGCCCTGGGACGAAAAGTTCATCAAGGTTGACCAGGAGCTGCTGTTTGAGATCCTGCTGGCCTCAAACTACATGGACATCAAGCCGCTGCTCGACCTCGGCTGCAAAACTGTTGCCAACATGATCCGCGGCAAGACCCCCGACGAGATCCGCAAGGCGTTCAACATTGTCGACGACTTTACTCCCGAGGAGAAGGAGCAGATTAGGAAGGAGAACGAGTGGGCCGAGGACCGCTAAGCGCGCAGTCTCGCTGCAGGCTTAGTCTCATAAACTCTTTTTTCTCCTTGTCTGTTCAATGCCAATTGAAAATTTTTACTCTCGTCTGTTCGCTGATCCCACAAATCGGGGTCAGGCTGGGCTTGTTTTGGCTGGGCGCAACAGGAAAAGCGCGTGCTGTGTCGCTTATTGAAAGAAACATAGCTTTGCTCTATCTTGTCTCTGACATCTTTTTTTATCACTACTACCCGCTGGAGCTAGTACTTTCCAGCAAAAAATGATGGCAGCCAGCACCAGCCGACTGGCTATAGCACGGGCTGGCGGAATCATGGCGCGCATGCAGCAGAGATACACCATGCCGCTCATCATGGCACGCTCGTACGGGTCGAGCCCAGCTGCTGCTACGTGCGAAGCCACCGTCCACACAGGGCCGACAGCACACAGCGTTTTCCAGTCGCTGGCGACGAACCGGCCAGTATTCAAAATCACAAAACCGATTGATATCATCAGAGAGCCAGCCGATTTCTATCAGGCGCTGCTGCGCGGCATCAGCCGTGCCAAGCACCGCATTTGCCTCAGCAGCCTGTACATCGGCAGCGAGGAGACAGAGCTGGTCTCCAAGCTTGACCAGGCGCTGACCAGATCGCCTGCACTGCAGGTTCACATTCTGGTTGACTGCCTGCGCGGCACGCGCACTAATCGGGCCGGCGAGAGCACGGCGACGCTGCTGGCGCCGCTGGTCAGCAAGCATGGGCGGGACCGCATCGTTGTGTCCATGTACCACACCCCGGCGCTCAGTGGAGTCAACAAACGAGCATGGCCGCAGAGGTTCAACGAGACGTTCGGGCTGCAGCACATCAAGGCGTACCTGTTTGATGACGAGCTGATAATGAGCGGAGCGAACCTGAGCCGCGACTACTTTACGAACCGGCAAGACCGGTACATGCGGCTCAGGGATGAGAAGCTGTGCGGGTACTTTGTCGGACTGCTACAGGCCATTGCCAAGTTCTCGTTTGAGCTGGTGCCCAACAGGGGCTCTGGATTCCGCCTGGCGATACACCAGTTCCCTGATCCGTCCAAGGACCCGCGCGGCTTTGTCCAGGAGGCGAACGAGGTAATGGCGTCGTTTTTGCACCGCGCCTCGGTAGAAAACAGCGTGCAAAAGATCTCGCACACAGACACGCTTGCGATCCCGACAGTGCAGATGAGCCAGCTGGGCATCACCCAGGACGAGCAGCACATGGCCGAGTTCTTCCAGATCACCGACCTGTTTGCACGGCAGCATCAGGCGTGCCGCAACTTTATGACATCCGCGTACTTCAACTTCTCGGACTTCCACAAGCACAATGTGCTGGCCAACCGCAGCCGGTGGGACCTGCTGGTAGCGTCGCCCGAGGCCAACGGTTTCTTCACAGCCAGCGGGATCTCAAAATACATCCCCAACATGTACAGCATCATCGAGTACCAGTTCCTTCGCATGGTGCGCAAGCATGGCCGTAGCGACATTGCTGTTGAGGAGTACTCGCGACAAGGGTGGACGTACCATGGCAAGGGCGTGTGGTGCTATCTAGATCAGAAGCTGCCGCAGCTGACCATGATCGGGTCACCCAACTACGGGTACCGGTCGATATACTGTGACCTGGAAGCGCAGGTCACGCTGATCCCAGGTAGCGAGGTGCTGCAGAACGATGTGCACCAGGAGGCACTAGGGCTGTTGTCACATTCAAAGATGGTCAGCGAGGCAGAGCTGAAGCAGCGGATCCGCGGGTCACCGATGTGGCTTTATGGCTTGAAGCCATTTATTCTGAAGAAGATGTAGAAGGGTGTGCTGAACCCCAATATATAAAATTGCTTGTTCATTTTGTTGTCTTTTGTCGCATGCTTCTGCGCAACTGTGGTTTGGATTCGGCAGCTGTAGAAGCGACAGCAGGCAGTTCTTGCTTGCGTTTCTTGGCTGCTGGCTTGTTCGCCGCGGGCTTCTTGTCCTTGGGATCCAGGTCGCCCGAGAACAGCAGGCCCTGCGCCCAGCCAGCATACGGCGAGAACAGCTTGATAAACAGCTGTTGAGCAAGCTCGTACGCCCTGTTGCTGGCAGTTTTGTGTGTCTTGAGCTGCCTTGCCAAGTCGATTATTTGGTCCTTTGCTTCCATGGGTAGCACCATCCCTGACTGCGTGCTGCCGCCAAGAATCCTGCCAATATACCGCTTCTGAGCGACCTGCCATATGTGGGTGTCAATGGGGACGGCGTCAATCTTGTCCAACGACATTAAGCAGACGCAGTCAGCAACCTTTGGCCCGACGCCGCTAAACTTCATCAGCTCAACACGCGCATCATCAAATGACAGACTGCGCAGAGAGAGCAGGAATTGCTCTGGGTCAGAGTGCTTGGTGAGCATCTCGACGGTCTTGGCGTAGTACTTGGCACGGTACCCGAAGCCAAGCTCCTTCAGCGTGTCCTCGATATCTGCGTCCTTGGCCATCTGCATGACAGTCGGGAATGTGTGGAATGTGCCGAGGTCGGTTGTGATTGGAGTGCCATATCTCGCGCACAGCTTGTCGATGAGCATGGTGATGCGCTTGATGTTGTTGTTTGACGTTGCAATAAACGTAAACAGATTCTCGACTACTGGCTGCCGTAGCGTGCGCACCCCCTGCTGCGATTTTCCCAGTTCGGTGAAATGAGGGTCGCGCTGGCTCCATTCCCTGCACAAGGACTCGAAACTGACAGCGAGCTGGAAGTAATCACGGAGCTCGGCTTCCAGATCTGCACCAGGTTGGTCACCTAGGCTGCCAAGCGACCGGTATAGCACGGTGCTGGGTGTCTGCTTCAGCGCCACAGCATGGCTCCAGAGCGCACATACCCACTCGTTGTCGCCCGTTGGCTTCCAACGGAATGCCTGGCCGCAGGTCAGTGTCGGATCAAGGCGCAACTCGT